GTCTAAGGTATTATCTGGACCTTTTAATTGGTTAACTAAAGGTAATTTCAGAGGAATCATAAAGCTTCTCATAACTAAACAATATTTGCACAAATTCATAAACCAGTCCATAAAACAAAGCAATGCACTTTCTTCTAGATATCAAACGTAACCAAAATTAAGTGGCAATGTTAAATATTTAGGTACAAGTTTGGAGCGCGCTGATTGTGGAGTACCACTTGTTGCTTCGACTAAGAACCAACCGTAACCAAAGTAACCTGGGCGTCATAAATGTCCTTTCAGGAAAGATTCATTTTTCTGAATGTAAAACTGTCAGAACATCTAAATGAGAACTGAAGATGAGAAATGAAGGTCATAAAATCTGTGTAATCTATCTACAGGCTCTTTCTGGGAATATGCTTCCTGTACAACGCTTGTAAAAATATCTGAACCTTAGGAGTTACAGTGGTTCGAACTTCACCAGCTCTGTGAGCGCAAACATGAGACTAAGATGTGTTTGCAACTAGTGAACTGTGTTTTGGAATTTACCCCAATTACAATGTTTTGGCTGCTGTCCCGAGGTCACGGTTACACTGACAAGAACAACTTTTCATTTTTATCACCCGTGCTGCAGGATCGGATCTACTGGACCGACAGAGACAAGGCAGCAGTTTTTATGGCCAATCGGTTAACCGGTCAGGATATCCAGGCTCTGGCTGAAAACCTCAACGATCCCCATGACATTGTGGTTTTCCACCAGCTCCGACAGCCGCCAGGTGTGTGTTCAGTCTGTGCGAGGCCCGTGGGTGTGTAGAAATGAGCTCATAATCAAACTCAACCACGTTTTCTCTTGGTGCCTAAAAAGTGCTGACCACTTCAGAACAGGCATCCGAAGGACGGAAACAAGGATACATTTGAACCGTGTAAATCCTTGCTGTCTTTATGTTAAACTCAAGATCTTTTTGCCTCTCACTCATTTCTATTTTCAGGTCCAGACAGCTGTAATCTGGGCAGTGTAGCCAATGGGGGTTGCGAGTACTTATGCCTTAAAGCACCGCAGATCACCGAACATTCTCCCAAATACACTTGTGCGTGTCCAGATGGACAGGACTTGGGGCCTGATATGAGGGGCTGCGTGCCAGGTGAGGGTCTGAGGGGCTGCATGGTTTTGTTGGGTACAAAAAAGATCCTGCTGTACACATGGCTATCACCTAGAGCAGCGATTCCCCACTGGAGTGGATTCTGCAGAGCTCGTGTCAAAAACTATGCTTTTAAAATATCTCAAATTTATGTATCTAAAATAGACCTTAAAATGTCTTGAATTAATTAGAAAAACTGTGAGTCAGCCTTAAATATGTTAATCACAGGCCTTAAATTTTGTGGTGGCAGGAATACTTAATCTCATATATTTTATGTAGTTTATTTTCGGTAACTACCTGCTGACATACTCTTGCTAGCATGTCTCTTTGGCACAGTTTTTTGCATCAATCATGGATAAGTGCAAATTTATCACCTGCTTGCTGGACGACATTCGTCTTTGCTACTGGCTCACTTTTGTTGCAACCCATACCATGCTACGTTCATTTTGTGCAACAAAACTCGGTACTACTACTATATAAATATGCAGTTTTCTTTTGTACATTTCTACCGTGAAACAGATCTTAAATTTAGTTTGTAATGCTCTTGAAAAGGTCTTAAAAAGTCTTAAATCTGAGGTGGTGAAACCTGCAGAAACGCTGCTAATGCCAAAGAGATTATCAACATACATACTATGAAAACAACAGTTAAATGAGTAGTGATAGTGTGGATTGCAAGCCTGGGGTCTACTGGTGAAGAAAGAAGCAGGGTTGTTGATCTCCAGTCCTCAAGGTCCAAAATTCTTCGGCTTTTAGATGAAAACTCCTTCAGCATACCCAAATCCAATAACTAGGACATTAGTAGGACTTTTGCAGAACTTAACTGCATGCAGAGGACTTTATTTGGTCTTTTTATTCAGGTGTTTTGGACCAAGGACACAGCTAAGACCTGGGGTTCAACACCCAATGATCTTATTTTTACATCTTAATCTGTATTTTACATAATCTATTTTCAATGTAGAATAATCCAGTTCTGGTTAGATCTTTCAAAGTTTACATCTTGAATAAGAAACTGCCAGATGCAGTCCAGTGAAAAACTGAAATAACCTTTTAGTTTACCACCGATGGGAAGATCTTAAGCAGATATTGACGTCATTGTCAGAAGGAGCTAAGGAGGGATTAGCCAGGGATTCTCGCAGTGCTAAGAATATTTTTTCATTCCAGGACCTACTTCCTTTATTATGTCAAAATAAAAGTCTCCAACAGATTAAAACACTCACTTTCATATTAACGACTCGTACTAATAGATGAGATCTGGATTGTGGTTGGCAAGTCAGAGTTTTATGTGATGAGGAATATTGTGGTGTGTTATTATTATCGTCACACTCAAAATGTTCTTGGCATTTGTTTTTATAGATCCTGCTCAAAATTAGGGAGTACCTCAAGACTTCGCAATGTTTTTGTAAACTTAAGTTTAAGATTTGTTTATTTGAATATAGTAAACATCTCTAGATCAAATCTCTAGCTTTGATTTAACTTTCCTCTTAGCAGTGCCGAGGGACGACATGACAGCGAGATCGCCACCTGCCTTTGGATTTACACCTGACGCCAGAGAAACTGACGCCAGAGGCATCGCTCCTTCCTCAGGAGGAGTCTCGCAGGCAGACGACGTCCCCTACTTGAGCACCGCTCCATCTGCTTCTCCCGAGTTTCTCACGCCACTCAGTACGCTGCAGCCTCTGTCATCGCAGGTGTCCGAATCACTGGGCTCCCACTCCACAGCCACGGCCATGGTCATCTCAACCACGTCTGCAGGGGACAGCAGTGTCTCCCAACACTGTGAGTGTGCAGTCTTTGATCAGGGCTGAAATGATTAATCGAATCAATCGTGATTAATCAATTATCAGAATAATCGTCAGCTATTTTAGTCATTGATTAGTCGTCAGTTGGCTTATACGTACTCTGACTATAGCCATCTGCTGAAAGAACAACATTCAGGACAGTAATTAGGCAAGAACTGTACAAAAAATATACACATTTAGATGATACACTTTGTCTTTAAATATATTTTGCCCAGAACCCCTCAAGTGGCATTTTTAGCTTCACTTAATTCAAGTTCTGTAAAATAAATAAATAAAATCTCCTGCTAACTGCTATGCAGTTATTAATCCAAAACAATTAATCAACAGTAGACAATATTTTTTTTGAGATGCAAATGATTAAGCGTTCACAGAAGGAATGTTATTGCATTTTGCGCAATGTTTGTTTTATTTAAAACAAATTATGCCAGTTTGTTTTAAATAAAACAAATTTAACTCATTTACTGTCTTTGTAATATTGTGTAAAAATGGCTGAAGTGGTTACATAAAAAATGTGTTAAATGTGCCAAATTTTCTATCCAATTTATTGATTAATCAATTAATCGTCAAAAATAACCAATTACTAAAATAATTGTTAGTTGCTGCCCTAATTGGGATTAAAGAAAACTGTTGAGTTGCATCTACTTCCTGTTGGGAACATGGCTAGCGATCTCGTCTTGACTGTAATGAGGACAATAAAGTGGGGAATCTACAAGCCTCAGCCACCGACGATAGGAATAATTGTCACCTTGAAAATTATGCCGTTCTCCTCATAAAACTGTGCTTTATGTGGGTGGAGATGGTGGGGGGTCGCATATCTGGAAGGAAATTTGTGTTGGGGCATAAACGCTTGCCTTAGTAAGTACTGCATGTAGAATGCAAATTTTGCTCTAATGCAGTTATACGGAGCCTGTATGTATGAAGGTGCAGAAGGTCGGGGGTGTCTCAAAGTCACACTCTGGCAAATACCAAGCTCTGCATCCTTTACATTCCTTTTTTTTTGTTTTTTTTTTCTCCCTCCTCCCTCTTTTCCACCGCTGTCTCTCTTTGTAAAACACTCACGGCCATTAACGCATGGTCACCCACTTCTCGCCTCCCTGTTTTATCGCCTCTCTCCTCCACCGTCTCGACCCTTCCTCGACGTACTGCTTATCTCACGCTTTTTATATCTTACCTGCCTTCTTTCTTTTTGTTCTCTTTATCACGGCTGCCTTTTCATCCCATTACTCTTACACCATGTAATTTCTCATTCCTTCTCTCTCCCCAGCTGGTGGCGAGAACTTCGTTCTGGGTGAGAACCTGACGGTGGCCGTTCTGGGCGTTGTCATTCCTATCGGTAAGCTGGATGCAGCCTCTGTTTTCTGTGTTTGTCTGGTTACAGAAAAACCGTTTGGCCTCATGTACAGAGCCTTGCAAAAATATTCAAACCTTTTGGACCTGTTCACATTTTTCTCACATTGCATCCTCAAACTTCAATGTTGTTCTATTGGTATTTTATTACATAGATCACTAAGAAGTAGCACGTAACCAGAAAATGTTATGTAGGCTTTAAAATTTTTTACAAATTAAAAGTCTCTCTCTTCCCCATCAACTCATTCAGACTAGCCAGAAGTGATTAGCAAACACCTGAAGGAACTGTGTATGTCCTGGACTCTTTATACGAGCTGCTTCTCAGTGCAGTACTGGTAAAAATGTTGTCAAAGAGTTAATAGAGGAGTCATGTTGTGATGACTTCCTGAACGTGCAGACTTTCTTAAAGAGACAGAGATCAAATTTGAAGGTGCTAAATTACTCATTTAAATTACTAATTACTAATTACATATTTCTTTTGAGTCATATTTGATATTTAAAGTATTTTATAACAACTGAAGGTAACAAATGTTCTTGATTGTTCACACAAAATGATTCTGTGTGGCTGGAAAACACATTTTCATCAGAAAATGGAAGAAAATGTTAGAATACATTTCTATCCATTGCACTTGAGTCATCTTTCTCTAATAATGGCTGCAATTCTTGTAATTCTTCACTAAACGTCACAAACTAAGTCAAATTGGACGGAAGTCATTTGAGCAAGTTTTTTTTTTTATGCCCAAGATTATCATTTGGATTTATGTCTGGGTTTTAACTGGTCCAGATTAACTCATTGATGTGCCTAGATCCGACTGTGTTCAGTGTTAACCTGCTGGAACAGGAACTTCATCCCCAGTTTCAAGTCTTTTGCTGTTCCTCTGTATTTAGCTCCATCCATGTTCCCTACAACTCAAACCAGCTTCCTGCTCCTGCAAGAAAAACACACTCACAGCATGATTCTGCCTCCACCATGTTTCATCACAGACACGGTGTGTTCTGATTGCTGCATACTGTTAGTTTTCCTCCACACTTACCGTAAATTTTGGTGTTTAATTTTGGTGTCGTCTTAGCAGTTGTGTTGGTCCATCACATAAAATCCCAATAAAATACACTGGTTTGTAGTGGTGGTATAAACATGTGAAAATTGTGATGGATATTTATACCTTTGCAAGACTCTGCACATGTACTGTGTTACCCTGATGTATAAGGTTCCCGTTTGTTGAGTCTGTCACACATTCACAGCTGTGCACTGGAGGAGTGAATGCTTGTCCACAAGTCCTCCTCTCTATTCATTTTTTATGTATTTGATATTCTTGTCATTGTGCATCATTCACCTTCTACTGCATTGTTTTGTGGGGGATACTTTGGCAAGCATTCCTTGCTAAAACATTGTAGTTTTCAAACTTTAATGAGGAGTGATAATAATTGAAGATAAGAAAAACAGCAAATACCTTTGAAACTACCTTTAATTGTTAGAATTTCAAAGTTCTACCTACTTATGAGTAGTTCATGAACTAAAACACTTGTGGCTCCATCAGAAAGTCTGTGCTGGAAAATATCACACCTCAGACTAAAAGTCAGGATACAGTTTGAAAGATTTTTAATAATATGGAGAATTTGGCTAATAAATAACTAAACTGCTCAGCTAGCCAATACACTAAAAGATGAAGTTCTATTCAATCAGCCATTAGGCTGAGCTACATCCAGCTCATGGTTACATTTGTAGTCATAACTCAGAAATTTGAACTTACCAGTTGGAAAAAGTTGGACTTCCTACTCGGAAAGTTGGAGAAACCCAGACTAACCCCGGTCAGGATTTTTCAGTGTTCCAATATGGCCGCTCCTTCTACAGTAGTACGCTGTGGTGGAAACCTGTTTATTTTGCAAATACACATGCAAGAGTGCATCTAAAATCAATGGTATCTTTACTGCCTGCAACTCTTAGCTGAAAAAAAGTCACAGTGGTCTTTGCTTACGGAAAGTGAAGCAGTTTAAACGATGTTCATCAGCAGTAATACTTGGCCATTGCCATGTCGAAGTCCAGGCTTCTTTGACTATGTTAACTGGAACACTTTTAACTCAGGTGTGACATCAAAACCAGCATCACTGCTCTAAAAACACTGGGATCAGAGCCAAATGATTAACTGCAGGTCTGAGTCATTTAAAGGTGGCTACATCTGCTTGTTATACAGCTACAGTCTCTGGTAAATAACAGTGAATGAAGCTTTCTTCATTTTAACCCAGAAAGGATTAAAATGGATCAGGAATCCCAAATATTGCTCACTGTTTGCTTAAGCAAAGCCACACAACTTAATTCATTTGCTACACCACATTGCTTTTGTTTTCTTATTTAATTGTGACTAAAAAGAAAAAAAGGAACAAAACATTTATTAATCACAGCTTATTTCCTTTAAAATGACAGACCTGATTTAAATCCGCTAGATATAAGGAAAATAAACATAATTCAGCTAAAAATATGACTTTACACCCAGTACATGCTTTAAGCTAAAACCTGATTCTGGACTAAATGAACTGGAACGAACTGAGTCAGCCTCCTTTTTCAGACGGACTTTTTCATTTTGTTCATAATAAAATCAGGTCACAGTAGAGGTGGAGCACACAAAAGGTGTTTATCAGCCGTGACAACTTTAACAGTGTTTTATTGGTTTGATTTAAAGCTGCAGTGTTAAATTACAATGAATATTTAATGGCAGATTTAATGTGATCATTAAATCAGGCATGTGAAGTTTCAGAATATCCTCATTAGTATTATCAGCTACTTTTCCTCATATCTGTTTGTGTAATAAAGACACTACATTTACAAAACAATCATATTACAGATGATGTATTAAAATAACACGTTCAATTTTCCCTGACTTTTAAAGAAAAACAATCTTTAGTTTTAAACTGCAGTATATAACTTAAAAAAAAAAAAAAAATATTGCTACTTTTGCCATCTGAAGAAATGCAACGCTCCTGACCAAAAACAACCAATCAGAGACAGGAGGAGGGTCTTAGTGCTATCAATCAACTTCTTGTACTCAATGTGCATTGTGCTAATGTTGGAGAAACAACTTACCATTACAGGAAAAATGTTTATCCGCCATCATCAGTGGTCATGCTAACTAAGCTTAGCATTTACAACAGGCTATTCTAGCTGCAGCTTAGTTGAGGGTAGAGAGGAGGAGGATGAGCGGCGCCACACTGACACATTGACAGTGCTAAGGCCCGACTCCGGCCTCTGATTGGTTGTTTCTAGTAAGCACTGTGAGAAGGCAGAGGAGCTCAATTTTACAACAAATATATATATATATTTTTTTAAATAAAAGTTACATACTACAACTTTAAGATAACAAAATATTTTAATTTCCATCCAAAATAAAAAGGTATATCTTCTTTGAAAGTGTCTCAGAGGATCCTTAAAACAAACACTCCCACTCTAAGCTTTAATGAGGGTTATTTAGAGTCTGTTTAGAGACTGTGAGAACTTGTGTGACTCATCTTTAGCCTATGCTGCACCATCCACCCACACACACACGCACACACACAGTTTCCATACCGCTCCCTCTTCCCTCTCTGTGTCCCCCATCCCGCATGCCTCCTCTTCTCCTCTCCGTGCCCGTCATTTCCCACCATGGACTCGTTCTGCCTTGTTAACGCTCCCCCTCCCTTCCCCGTGTCCCCTGCCGCTGTGTGTTAAACGCATGCAGTTCCTATCGTTGCCACAGTGGTGTTCGGCCTGGTCTGCGCCGGAGTCTACCTGGCGTGGCGGAACTGGCGCCGCAACTCCACCAAGAGCATGAACTTCGACAACCCGGTTTACCGCAAGACCACAGGTGAGGGCGAGGAGGACGAGATCCACATCGGGAGGACCGACGGCATGGGACACCACGTCCACCACCACCACCCGTACCCCCAAGGGGTCAGCATGGGCGTGGTGGGGGCTGGGGGCGGCACCTGCCCGCAGTTCATCGCCCTGCCTTTGGGGGGCAGCATGCCCGACGCGGGGACTCACTGGTACACGGAGCAGCCCATGCTCTCCACTGCAAAGTGAGGCAAAAGGACCTGCTTCTGGTGCAGCTTGGACGCTCAGGCACACGGTGAAGTCAGAATGAACTTGGACTAAGTTTACCGAAAGGATGAACGACATATCATAGTTTCATTCAGTCATACACACACACAGAGCCATGTCATGTTTCATATAAACCGAGAATGAGAAAGAAAAATTAGGGAATGAAATCTGTTTTTCCTCCAGTAGATTCTGGTAGTTAAGTAATCAGGTGGTGCAGACGCGCTCCCAATGCTGGAAAATCAATTCAAACTCCATTTTAAACTTTTTCATTGACAACCGTGTGCATCTGAAGCTGCAAAAAGGTGCCGGGCTTGAGCATCCGTTTCGTCCTTGACGTGTTAGTTTGAGTTTTGTGTTGCTCCTGGTTGGCGGCAGCGCTCTGGGACAGCTACTAAAGAAAGAGGAGCTGTTAAACTGGGGCAGCCGGTGGAGACAATCTGTTGGGATCAATCCCAGATGCTGTTTCTGGAGACACCTGGTGCCGTACACATTTTTTCCTGGATCAGTTTGTCCAGTTCAGAGCTTCATGATTTTGGTTGAACACTGTCAGTTTTGAGTATTTCTCTTATTTAGTGAAGAGAGTTGGAAGAGTCTTCTGTGAGCATAAAGGTGCAAGTCAGGCTTCCTCTTCTTCTTCTTCTTTTAGTAGCTTGTTTTAGATGTTAAATGGTCTGAGAAAAGCAATAGGCTGCAGATAGCAGCCAGTTGAGGTGTTTTGTGGTTTATGAAAGTCACTGAGTGGTAATGATTTCATTTGACAGCCCACTTTTGACTGTGACACACACACATACACTCCACCTGCCGTGCAGCGGTATCAGATTCCCGTTGTTTTCCAGAGGGGGTGGAGGGGGACAAGGACGAGGTGCAGTTTGCTCTCTGCAAACACAAGCAGCATGCAACCAACCGACATCGCCACCGTTCATTGTTCCACACGAGACTCTCTCACTCACACACTCACTGCACAGTCGATTCCGCTGCCACTGTTATTTGAGTGGACAGTTTGGGACAGGAGGCCCAGCTGGTTTCTGCTTTGGGAGAGAAATAAACCTGTCATATTATGTTACCACGAACGTGAAAAGAAAAATCGGACTCCCATGTAGTGCGGCGTGGCGCCTGCCGGTGAACACGTTTCACGCCGGTTTATACAGATCACCTGGAAATTCCCCCGTGTGTGTGCTCATCGAAATGCATGTGTGCCAATTGTCCATCGCACAGCCATATTTGAAACTGTTTTTTGGATGCTATTTGTTGCACAACCCTCTTAGAATGCCTTCTGGTACTGTGTTTCTCATGGAGAAAGAAGGTGTGTGTGTGTGTGTTTGCACGTGTGTTCACCTTTGTGTGTATTGGTGAGCGAGTGTGCGTGTGTCGGCAGAAAAGCTTTGAGGGTGCTTTTGGACTCATTGGGTTGTAAATACCTTTTCATAACGTTTTTTGATAATGTATAATTCTGTAAAAGAAGAGCTGTATATAAGATTTTAGATAAAGTGTTGACACCTATATTAATTTATTTGTATGAAGAAAGCACTGTTTTTTTCTTCCCTGATTGTTTAAAATCAGAGTTATCCACCAAAGTGGTTCGTTTTAGTTGGTGTTTCTTGCTGTGTCGTTTAAGCCTCTTTTTTGTGTGAAACCTTGTTTTTTTCTTAGCCTTTATATAATATTAAGAGGCTCCACACCCTCCACCCAAAAAGAATTTTTAAAAAATCCACATTGGTGGAACATTTTTAAGCCCAATGTAAGTGAGAACGTTGCTTTGTATTTATTTGTGCCTTTTTTGTTTACACTTTCATATTAACCTTGTGTTTTTGTTTTTTGTTATTTTTATTTCATGAAAAAAAGTCAGCCAGTTGCTGTACGTCTAATACTGAACTGTACTGAGGACAAATTGGTTCTGTGTTTTTTCCATAACTGATTAGTTTAAATATCTCTTTTTCTTGTTATATAAAATCTGACAAACACAAGTCTGCAGTTTCTCTCTTATTTTTTCCTATGTAAGACAATTTCTTTGTCACTTTATATGAAGAAACATAGAAAGGATTATTATTTTGTGTAACAATGAGTCAAATTAACAGTGGGTTACTCTGAGTGGTGTGATGATCTAGTAGGGGAAAAAGCTGGTGCATCATAATTTAGCAGAAATCAGATCATCCACCAGATTATTCTCAGAATTTGTTTTTCAATTTAAATTTTGTCACAGGTGTTCATTCAAAATTAACCAGGCTTCCCACAGAGCTCTTTGCCTAAAGTAGCAAATGACACACAAATTTAAATTATATTCATACATTAAATATTTTTATGTCTCATGATAAAATGTATTATTTCCTTAAATCTGAAACCTTGGTTTGTCATACTGTATTGTGGTTCCTTTATTAAAAATTCATAATCAAATTAACAAACAGTTTATCTAGGTGGATAAACTGTATCTCACCAAGCGGATTGGGGTAAACAAATCCAGTCAGACTCTCTTCTTGATTCTGTTCTCTGTTTTTTAGTCTGATCCAGCATCAAAAGTTTGTCAATGAAAAGTGTTTTCCTCTGACACTGATTATCAAAACATTTCAGTATAAAATCAAAACTAAAAACAAATGGTTACATTTCAGAGATGGAGCAAGATTTACCACTGTCTGGAGCAACAGTTTAACCCAAGGTTGCTAAAGTCTTTAAGAAGAGGCAGCCCAAGAATGTGTTCAGTTTATTACCTTAAAGCTGCAGAAGGTGACTTTTAGCAAATATGCAAAAATACATTTCTATGAAACTTTCACAAAGTCCTGACAGTAGACTTTGTCACAGTCTACAATCACAAACATTATTCCAACATTTCAGAAGGGTAATCTGAAAAAAAAAAAAAAAAGCTTTTCTGGCTCCTTGCAGTGATCCTACTACCATTTACAGAAATGCACAACTCCTGGACAGAAACAACCAATCAGAGCCAGGAGGAAGGTCTTTGCAATGTCAATCATGCTTGTGTATGCCCTGCTCACATCCTTTCTCCATTTAATATGTTCTGTTGCTCAAGCTCAATATTGCCTGTGTCCTGCAGCTATTTAAATATCTGAGAAACAACCGAACAATTAAGTGCCAATTTCTTGACTTCAGTGCCGGCTCAGCTGTGGACTGTGTGCTTGCTCAAATTTTTGAGCTAAGTACACAGTTCTTGACAGCAACCAAATGTACAAAAGGTCTGTAAAGTTCTATATCTTTGCCACAGGAAGCCGGTTTGTTAGGTCTCCACGCTACTGCTTTCAGCCAACATTACTCCTGGCTTCATCGGCCAACTTCTGAATCTACATATGAACTCGGAGACTTCAGCATCAAACATAATATGCTACAGATTAATCTGAGTTTGTTTTGTACAGTCACCAATGTCATTAGTAACCTTCAGCTGCATTCTAGTCAGTTTGTTTCCTTTTTTCATTCAAGCTTCTCCTTTTTTGGGGGCATACTTATTCTAAAAGAGAAACCAGATGAATGCCTTTTAAACCCATCGAGCATAGATACTCAACATACTTATGATGATGCACCTAATCATCCGGTAACAAATAAAACGCAAGATGCCGCCTGCTGATAAGGTATTGTATATTTTTGTTGTGCTTTATTTCTTTTTCCGTTGTAGCAAATCTGTGGCATCCTTAAAACCCATTAGCATGCGTAAAGAATCTATTCTGCCAGGAATCCCTGTTAACCACTAAAGCCGATTGGTTTTTAGAAAACCTGTGCTTTGGCTGTAAACCTCTCATTGTAAGCTGGCGCTGGCTGAGAAGTGTTTTACTCGCGTCCATTGAGCAAGTGATTCATCAGCAGACAGAAACCCCCACAGTAGACAAATCCAGTCCATTATCGTTATTAAAGGAAAGCGGGGTGAATGCCTTCAGAC